CGCGCACAGGGCTGGCTCCTCTGCAACTGCTGGTGTCGGGGCTGCGGGGCGCTCGCAGCCGGGTTCCCGTCCGCATTCCAGCAACGGTCTCCAGAACGTGCCAACCCGGGCGGAACCATCGGAACCCCGCAGGGCCTCTGCAGCCCAAGGAGCGCCCCTTATCACTTCCATCGTCCCGGCTATCTGCTCCACGGGAATATTCTAATGAGGGCCCGGCGGCGTTCCCAGCAGACAGCTATCCAGGCAGCCCTGCTGCCATTCGCACAGCTGTGTGGCCAGCTGAACACAGAGGTGCCACTTTCCAGAGACTTTGCAATGCGGCACCCTGTGTGTTGCACGACAGTAAAACACTGGGACCACTTGGAGTCCTCAGGAAACCAAGGGGGGTGAGCCTCGCTCACTCAACTTGTAACTCACCGTCCACTAGCCTGGCTCCCAAATACTGTTTCTTCAGGAGTCCTAACTGCATTCTGGTGGAGTGAATGGGTAAGGCACACACACAACTCGGTGCCTCTGGGCGAGGGAGGCCCTCGGTGGAATTCCAAAGTTCAACCTTCATCAATGAGGCTTTTGGTAGTAAATAACAGAGAATGAAAAAAAAAAAAAATCAAAATTCTGGAAAGGTGCAGAAATCAGCCTTTCCCCTGGCAGGTCTCTGCCGTGAAACCTGGGATCCACACTGAAGCAGGATTCCTTTATCCTGCTTAAGATTTTTAAGAGAAAGCACCAGTACTACAGCCACCATTTAAAATAATGTTTGAACTATATGCAATGACTTGCTAATCTAAGGTGAAATGAGACAGCGATTATAAATGATAATGCATGCTTTGTGAACAGCAGACTGCTTCATTTACTTCCCTAATCCCGTTGGTTTATTTTTAAGTTGCTTAAATTTGGGCAAAATCTCTGTTTGATTTTTTTCTTAACGTATTTTAAAGACGTCAAACAGCTAAGTTAAAAGCCTGATTAATGGTAACCTGATCAGTTTCTGATAGGTTAAAACAAATTACTGCCAATGAGGGATCAGAAAGAGAAGGCATTCCAGTAGGCAGAGCAGAGCTTTTAACAGCACAGTGATTAAGCCTTAAGTAAGAAATTATTCTGTGCAACTTAGGGAACTATTGCTCAAGTGGAATAAGGCCTTTTTTTGGAAGAAATTATATTTACTTACACCTGCCTATATGTTTATAAGCTGAATGTATTGATGCTTGAAAAATCCAGAAGGCACCAGCCTGTGAAAGGATTGGGGTGGGGGGGGGGTCTCCCTGTATCACTGAGGAATGACATTTCACTCATACTTTATTGCTACAGATTAGCTGCTACTTCAAGATACTGCTCTTAAGAAACCATTCAGGTGAAATTTCTATTAGATAGTTATACCATCCTATATCATTAAAACTCAGTTCTTAAAGACAATAAATCGTTTAGGGAGAGAAATTTCTAAAAATCAGAAAGCACACACCTGATGCTGATTTTAACTTTTGATCAATTCTGAAAGTTTGAGTTTTAATGAACAAAATTTAGGGAGTTTAAAATATTTCAGTGGATTTAATGTAATCGTGCATTAGAGTTAACTTTTTATAGCTTTCTAGTGTGGTGGCTGTTTCCTTCTGCTCAAAAAAAATAATTTCTGAAGTTAAAATCAAATAGATATGCATAACCCCTGTGACACACCAACAGTTCCTAAGATTTCTAAGGCTTCCTCTCCCTTCCCTATCTGCACTGCCTCTCTTTTCTGCAAGAAAAGAAGCTCAACATCATAAGTTCTTAATGAAATTGTAATGAATGTTAAACTATAGTATTTTTTAAGTACAATTATTTTCCTTTATATATGATTTTTCCCCCATAATCAGTAAAGCCTAAAGCCTTGGTAGCCTAGAGTTTCCCAAATCTGCTGCATTTTGTTTTCAATCTTTCCATACATTTCTGAAGCTCTTAATATCTGATAAGCAGTATTCATGATCGATACCCAAATGGAATTACTTGAAGGGGAAACAATTACCTGGCTAAGGATTAAGTAAATTTGGTTTTAGTGAATTAACTACATCAAAACTCTTAAGAAAGCCATATATTGAACTCCAACCACTGAAAAGCTTATTTGACAGGAAGTAACTGTTATTACAATGAAAATCACAAATGACATTTTGTGTGCCAGTTTTACTTTTCTGCTATATGGAATTAAAAAAGATTATCAGCTACTCTTTCTCTACTGCCACTAATATTTTATGAGAAATATGTGATGGGAGTATGAGGTCTGTATTTAATAGCTGTTACCATTTCTGAGTTTTGCTGAAACTGTAAAACACCACCAGCCCAGTGTACTTTGGTTAGGCTTAGCAGAAAGCACCATGAACAGCAGGTGCCATTAACGAATGAGCAATAATGTGGAGCAAGCTGGCATCCCCACTTTCTTAGGGTTTGCTGGAGACAGACAATCCTCAACTCAGACAGAAAATTAGATCTTAAGGCTGATAAATCAGTTATCAATCTAACATCAGCTAAGCTCACAAAAACAGTGAAATCACAGTTTAAAGCCACAAATCACAAAAACATCACGAAGGATCAAAGGTCTCATTTCACTGAACTTTACAGGAATTAAAAGTTTTCACACATTTTCAGAAGGAAAAAAAAACTAAATTTAAAAATTATTCATATAGAACTTCCATAACTTTTGGTTCCTAGAATCATGTGTGTCTTTACAATAAAGCTTATGGGGGTAGAGTGCATATTCTATGATTAATAATTTACTTTTAAGCCATCACAAATATTAGACCATTACCTGCTGGGTGTTAAAATCAACTAAAGATATCCCAAAGATATTAAGCTATTATTCTGTGAAGTACTATCCGTCATACTTTATCCTCCCAATTTTTAAACTTGTGATTCTTGAACCTCAGTTGCCATTTAAAAAGCAAATTTTTCAAAATTTAAGAATTTTAAATGAAAGCTCATTCAGTGAAAAATTACTTTCAGTCCACTAAGCCTATAAACTTTGCTAATTCAAAGACAGAATTCTTCAGTTATCTTTTTCTTCACCCCTCCCCCAATCCTGCACAAAATGCCAATGTAAACTATACCAAACTGCACACCCTCCCCATGAACACTTTGGCATGCAATTTCATTTCAACAGCCAGAACTCAAACAGCAGATGTTGTCCTGAAGTGGCATGGCCTGGTCCACACTTCTGGCCACTCCATTCAGGTTTCCATATATTTTAGTTCATTAAGGCTTCATTCTTAAGCTGCTGGCTGAAGTTTCTTTACACACAGATAACTCTCCTGTTTTTTGTTTTTGTTTTTACAAATAACTCTCTTGAAACTAAATTATTCTTTTAAAAAATATCACAAAATGAAATCAATAATAGGGTTAACCACCTCATTTCTTCACTACTGCAATTTCAAAGTTATATTTCATCTAAATTATGAGTTTTCCATCTCTTTTTATAAAAAATGAATAGTTTGTCATGTAAAACACTCTGGCATATTGTTAGGCATTTTATGTAATCTTCAAGAAAAGTCAAAGTAGCTAATGCTAAAATTTCCATATGAAAATAAGCAAATAAGATGTCACAATGCATTCTGAAGGTATTCCAATAAACAGATTTAAATAAAATTACACTTATCTCCCATTATTTAATTAATTTTGTGGCATAAAGATTACTCAAATATACAGTCAAATGCTTATGTTTAAACTATTCTCTCTCTCTCTCTCTCTCTCTCTCTCTCTCTCTCACACACACACACACACACACACAGTGTCACCCCCTTCCTCCAAAAAAGAAAAGAACCACTAGCTGTTTCAGGCCAGCAATCAATCCAATTTACTGCAGGTACAATTTATATGTACAGTCCATTCCACGACAAAACCACAGTGTGATGCCAACCGGGCCCTTAAGAAAGTTTTCCCCTAAATCTCTGGAAAGGAGCTTTAAAAGAAAGCAAGGATTACAGTCAGCTAGAAGGTAGGGAGGGGACTTACCTCAAACCCAGCCAAGCGGAAATCAGAGCAGTAATTCTACAAGTCAACAGAGTACACTTTCAAAGCTATAATGGTGTGAAGAAGTGCTGGGCAGCATGGCCTGAAGGCAGCACTAATACACTGATGACTAATGGCTGGGCTGGGGCAGACAATGAATTTGGGGACTGAAAACTAACAGAACCCATGCAGTACTTTGACAAATGGGCTTTCACAATTTCATTCATTGACTAACCTTTAAGCACAAAATTGGCTCCAGTTCTCTGGGGAATTACATGACATGTTGTTGGACGATGATGTAAGTATTTTCTTTTTTTAATTATGACTCTTATGCAAAATGCAAAAGCACCGTATATGAGGACACAACTATAGGTACTGCAGATGAAGATGTGGAGCTCAGTACAATATTACCTTTCAGGAGGTGCTGAAATGTTCCAATGCCACCTTATTAACTATGTAATGGCTTGTTCATTCACTTTCTGTAGAGAGCCATAGATTTTCTGGGACATTTTGTCTGGTTGAAATATACACACACAGAACAAAAATACTTTCACATTAAAAAAATAATAATTAAAAGTGATTATGAGTAGCTTAAAAATGTGTCACTAAAACTATGGTGCATTCGTAATTATAAGTGGAAAAAGTCTAATTTTAAGGGCCAGGAAAAGGAAAAGCGCCTTAAGACAATTACAGCACCATGTAACATTTGCAATGAAATGCACTTACTAACATATTTAACATCTAATTTCTTTCAAACAGCTCCCCTCTCTCATCCCCGCATAACAAGCCCTTCAATTAAAAAATAATAATCCCAGCAATTTTTAAAGAAAGAATGAAATATCTCAAGTGTCTCTAAATTAACAAATACCACTTACTCCAGACAGCATTGCCTTTAGCAGCTCCTAAAAACTTAAGAAACGGATCTTAAAACAGGAAGCTTAGTGAGCTCATAAAACTGTTGTTGGAGCCAGGAACACATAGCATATTTAATCTGCAAACTGTGAGAGTCTACAGTGATTTCAGCAAGATCTGAGGCATGCCCTTAAGGTTTGCTGGGATCTGGGATTAGGGGGTTGATAAGAACCTCTACTGCCCATGGACATGTTTTTCTTCTGCACTTAAACACAAATGCACAGAGACGTTTGACTGCTGCTTGGCGTTACTGCTCAAGTTATATAAAAGCTTGCAGCTCCTTTTGCTGTCAATATATCAAAGTTTAAAAAAAATCATCAAAGTGTGAAATTTCATTTAAAGTCTTCACCGGTCTACAGCTCTATTTCACAGGCCCATCAAATAAAAGTAAAGATGAAAAATACACTGAAAGTACTTGAAAAAGTTTGCAGCAGTGCCCCTGCCCTGTTGTTGTTTATTCTGTCTCCATCTCTTTGCTTTGAAACTAGAACAAATCAATTTTCATCTAGAAAAATGACAACATGGAGTGAAGGGCAGCAACTTCTACTCGACTTTAATTAAAAGACAACCTGAAGGGAATCTTTTGCTTAACAAATTAAATACACACACATTCCCTCTCTATCATTTCAGCATTTTAATTGCCTCTCATATATAAGTTGGCAGAAAATT